CATTTCTCCAAATCTGATGAAGAAACAAACTCATCTACATCTTGGATGGCCTGAGGGTGAGGGACATTTCCAGCAAATTTTCATTTCTGAGTGAACTATTCCTTTAAACTTCAGCTGTCATGTCCATAAACATAAAAAAATCTTTACTTGCACCAAGTGAAGAGATGCAGTATTGACTTGTAGCACCTCTGTTGTCCTTCAGATCTGAAGATGAAGTGTTGCCACTAGTGTCTAGTTGTAAGTACAGACTTTACACACAAAGCAAGTTTTATTTTTTATAGGGTATTATTAATGAAATCAATCTTTATAAGGGGGTAAACACTCTCTGTTGCGTTTCTCCTCAAGCTAATTTCAGTCAGGACGAGATCGGGCAGCCCATCATGGACGTGGTGCTGGAAGCTGGCGATCTGCTGTATTTTCCCCGTGGCTTCATTCATCAGGGCGACTGTCTGCCTGACGCTCACTCGCTGCACCTCACCGTCTCCTCCTTCCAGAGGAACAGCTGGGGAGATCTGCTCCTCAAAGTACGACCCTTCACTTCTGAGTCTGTGCTGTGAATGAATCGAAAAGAATCCATGAGGAATTTTGAATAAGTGAATCTCACAAGAACTCACAAAGCGAAACTCGTGAAAAAAAAAATTTATATCTTACTATTATATATATATATATACTATATATAATCTTACTATTATATATTATATCTTACTGTATTACATTTATGTATTTGCATTGCAGATATTAATAATGCAGAATTTATTTATTTGCATTACAGAAATAATGCAGATATTAATAACGCAGATTATTGATTAAAATGTGAACCAGATATTTCTATGTAAGATTCAGCTAGATTACATCTTGTGACTTGAGTGAATGTATTTGATTTGCAGTTGATGCCAGCAGCTCTGGAGACTGCGATGGAGGAAGACGTTGAGTTCAGGAAGGGACTGCCGCTTGATTACCTTCAGTTCATGGGAGTTCAGAACTCTGAGAAGGTACTCGTGTTTCCACTCTATTAATATACAGGCTCCGTTCTGTTTGTCTCTGACCCGTATTGACACAGAAATCACTTGTGCGTGTGAACAGGAAGACCCACGAAGAGACAAATTCATTGCACACGTCGAGGGCCTGATGAAGAAACTGGTCAGTTTTGCGCCAGCCGATGCTGCTGTGGATCAGAAAGCCAGAGACTTCCTGCACGACTGCCTTCCACCGGTGCTGAGCGCTGGTGAGTCTCACAATAACACGCCACAACTAAAGGTCAGGTGGGGTTTTTTGCGTTAAATTATCGCCTTTGAAAGGTCAGACACATAACTTCTGTCGAAACCAATTCTGTGAGTTTCAGAAAATATGTCTGGTAAATGTTTTACAGAAATAACATGGTTCAAATATTTGTGTTGTATCAGATATTGCAGTAATACAATATCTGTTTTATACTGTATGTTAAACTGATTAATATGGAAGCTTGTTTCCACAAACAAAAAAGGTAATTGCAATATCTCACAATTCTGACTTTTTTGTCAATTTTGAGTTTTCATCTCACAATTATGACTTTTTATTTCGAATTTTCTTTATTTTTTCTCGTTTCTCGTTTATTTCTCGTAATTCTGACTTTCTGAATTTTCAGTTTACATCTCACAATTATGACTTTTTATTTCGAATTTTCTTTATTTTTTCTCGTTTCTCGTTTATTTCTCGTAATTCTGACTTTCTGAATTTTCAGTTTACATCTCACAATTATGACTTTTTATTTCGAATTTTCTTTATTTTTTCTCGTTTCTCGTTTATTTCTCGTAATTCTGACTTTCTGAATTTTCAGTTTACATCTCACAATTATGACTTTTTATTTCGAATTTTCTTTATTTTTTCTCGTTTCTCGTTTATTTCTCGTAATTCTGACTTTATGAATTTTGAGTTTACATCTCACAATTATGACTTTTTATTTCGAATTTTGTTTATTTTTTCTCGTTTATTTCTCGTAATTATGACTTCCTGAATTTTCAGTTTACATCTCACAATTATGACTTTTTATTTTTAATTTAACAGCATATGCTAGAATAAAAAGTAAAATATATTTGTCTTCATAGGTTGTGCGGTGATGGAGAAACAGTCTCTCTTTTTTACACTACTGAGAACTCCAGAGTCTATCGTAAAGAAGAGCCCAAGAGCATTGAGATGAAAGCAGAGGTAAACATGTACTCTTGTCTGAAATGACTGCAGCATTTACTTTCTTTAAGCATTGGGCTGATCATGTTTGTTTTTTTTGGTTTTTTTACAGCACATTGATGCCATGGAGTTTCTGATTCATTCATATCCCAAGTTTGTTTCTGTGGCCAGTTTACCATGTGAGAAAATGGAGGCTAAGGTACTGCATGCATTTGTTTTATACTTAAGCCCTTAATGACCTGTTCAAATTGCTTTTACGAATGAATGAATGAATCTCATTTTGCAGATGTCTCTGGCTGAGCTGCTCTTTGAGAAGGGACTGATCCACACAGCTGAACCTGACAGCTGAATAAAAACAGTATTTAGTGACTAAAGAAAATGAGTGTCCTATGTCATATGCTTATTATCTGTACTAACTACATATTTTTTATCAAATGAAATTAAAGGGTATTTGTAATTTTTTTTCGGTTTCTTTGTCTCGTTGAACAGTTGTGGCAAGTTTGATTTATTTTCTGTATTCAATTATACAGAATTGCTGAGGTTAACCCATCCATAAATTTTGGGAAAACAAACACTTCTGTAAATTTGCAAAATTGCATCAGTGCTAAAAGAGTGTGTTAAGTCAGTTTAGTATTGGTGTCTTCTAAC